AGGGGAGAGGGGGGAACGTGGACGTGGTGTGTGTGGTCGATGACGACCACAAGAAAGAGAAAAAGAGAGGAAGAAAAGAGAAGAAGGTTTAGAGAAAGAGAGGAGATGTTACGTGAGTACGTAAGGCCCAAGGGTCATAATCATTTGCAGCCTGCGAGGCTTTCAACTGGTTTTTTTTTTCCTGTTTTTTTTTTTTTTAGCATCAGGTAACTGTTAACTACCTAGGAGGCGGTACGAGCACACCTCCAGGGTTTTTGACGGTTCTCCGTTCCGCGTTGTGTGTGTGTGTGTGTGTGTGTGTGTGTTCGAGATACCAAACAACGTATCGAAACAACGTAAGAAGAAAAGTAGGGTGTCTGTGACAGACTGTTTCGTCGGACTGTGTGTGTGTGTGTGTGCGTGTGTGTGTGTGCGTGTGTGTGTGTGTGTGTGTGTGTGTGTGTGTGTGTGATATTATGGGCCTTGCCACAGTACTCACCAAATAGACAAAATGGGAATGAATCTTCCGCTAGAACATGGAAAGATGCACAGCCATCGTTTATGTATTTTCTGCGTTTGGTGAGTAGTGCGGCGAGACGGCATGTTGTCGTCATACGCAAGTCCACGAATGAAAGCATGAGACTGTGTGAGACAGACTCTTCCGTCGGACTTTCACCGACTAATCAGGAGGTTCTGTGTGCGTTTGTGCGTGGCAAAGCGAGTGGAAAGAGAGAGGAAAGCGCGGGAAAGAGAGAGAGGAAAGGGCGGTAAAGAGAGGAAAGAGAGGAAAGGGTGGTTAAGGTCGGGAAAAACAGAATCAAGGGTGGTTAGGGCTGGGAAAGAGAGAGGAAAGGGCGGGAAAGACAGAATGAATGGGCGGGAAAGACAGAAGGAAAGCACGGGAAAAACAGAATGAAGCGTGGTTAAGGGCGGGAAAGAGAGAGGAAAAGGTGGTTAAGGGCGGGAAAAACAGAATGAAGGGTGGTTAAGGGCGGGAAAGAGAGAGGAAAGGGTGGTTAAGGGCGGGAAAGAGAGAGGAAAGGGCGGGAAAGACAGAAGGAAAGCGCGGGAAAAGCACAATGAAAGCGCGGGAAAGAGAGAAGCAGGGGCGGGAAAGAGAGAGGAAACCGAAAGGAAAGGAGTAGGAAAGGTAAGAAAGAGAGAGGAAAATGAAATGAAAGGGCGGGAAATACAGAAGGAAAGGGCGGGAAAGACAGAAGGAAAGCGCGGGGGAAACAGAATGAAAGGGCGGGAAAGACAGAAGGACAGCGCGGGAAAGAGAGAAGCAGGGGCGGGAAAGAGAGAGGAAAATGAGAGGGATGGGATGGACCGAACCTTAAGAGGATATCTATCTCTGGAGCAATCTTGTACTCTGCTGTGTATGGTCCAATCCACTCTATCCATTCCACGTCATCCAACGCTTCAAATGCTGCCACATCATCCGGTAGGAACACCAGATAACTGTACAGTGGGATGTACTGAAGGATCACCCCTCGTACACTCTCAATCACCTCGGAGAACCTGTCGTATGAGTCTGGTTCAAAGATCATCTTCTCGTTAAGCTTCACCAACACTTGGACTTCCATCTGCAAAACCCAATCTAGGCGAGAAGGAGGAGGAGGAGGAGGAGGAGGAGGAGGAGCCGCCTCCTGTCCACCGTCAGATCGATCTTGATCGGTTACGAGCCACGTGGCCTTCGCTGCTGCCGTGTAAGTCTCGTCATCTTTGTGGTTGTCGTCATCCGATATCAAAGATGTATTCGACGGAGGCACCTGAGTGCTTGCCACGTGTACATCGGACTTTCGTCCGCTTCGATCAGTCCAATCACCCTCCTTGTCTTCTCTCTCTCCTCCCTCCGTTGAATTTGCACGGACGTCAACGGAATTTGTACGGATGTCAGCAGCGGGATTCGCACGAACATCGCTTCCATAGCCAGCTTGCGAGGACGAAGATACATAACGCGTTTCTCCTCTCTCTCCTCTGCGTTCTCCTCCCTCTCCTCTGCTTTCTCCTCCCTCTGCCATTGCTCCTGCTCCTCTCTCTCTTGTTCCCCCTCCTCTCTCTCCTCTTCTTCCTCCTCTCTCTCCTCTCTTCTCTCTTTCTTTTCCATATTCTTTACCTGTCTCATCATTGCTTCGCGCGTTTCGTTCTCCTCCTCCTCCCTCTCCTCCCTCTTCTCCCTTTTCCGCCTCCTCTCTTTCCTCTTTCTCCTCCCTCTCGTATTCTCTCTGTTGATTGAAAACTGCATCCAACGATGACGACCTCCGTGATCCATGGTCGGATCCCGATCCCGATCTCGATCCCGATCCGACCTTGACAGAATGGGAAGAGGAGTAGGAGGAGGAGGAAGAGGAAGAGGAGGGAGAAGATTGCATCCCGATCCCGATCTCGATCTCTCGGGTGTCATTGCCCGCCGAAATGCCGTTGCTTCTGCTGCTCGATTGTCCGCCACGTGGCAGCGTTGGAACGAGACTCCCATGTGGCTCTGCTCCCCTCCACCGCCTACTCATCCCGCCTCCCTCTTTTCCATTAATCAGCTCTCCATAGCTCCTGAGCTTACGCGTGTCCAGAACCCCTCTCCTTAGGAAGATTAGATGCGGTTGATGATTTGATTTATGATGTGATTGATTAGTAGATTGATGATGTGATTGATTAGTAGATTGATGGGATTGATTAGGGTATTGATTAGCGGTAGTAGATTGATGGGATTGATTAGGGTATTGATTAGCGGTAGTAGATTGATGGGATTGATTAGGGTATTGATTAGGGTATTGATTAGCGGTAGTAGATTGATTAGTAGATTGATGATGGGATTGATTAGGGTATTGATTAGCGGTTGTAGATTGATTAGTAGGTTGATGGGATTGATTAGGGTATTGATTACTGGTAGTAGACTGATTAGTAGATTGATTAGTGGATTGATTAGGGAATTGATTAGGGGATTGATTAGGGAATTGAGAAGAGTGATGAGGAGACTGATGAGGGGATTGATTGCTTATCGTTGAAGACCCATTCTGCGTTTGACTGGCATTTGCAGTTGTGTGAGTGAGGGAGATTAGTAGGCATGATGAGCATAATAGCAATAGCAAGTTGGAGGAGGAGGAGGGTAGGAGAGGGAGACTTAGCCAATCTTGAGGGATCCGTCGATGTCGGATCGTGCGCCATGTTCTTCTCCCGAATAGAACGCACACGCATTGTTCGACCCCGGTGGGCTCACGGGTCATGGTACACACCCCCATAACTGATTATCGAAGGGGGGATGACTCAATCAATCAACGAGCTTGAACCCTGTCAAACCCACAACAACAACAACAATTTTAACTTATAAATAGTTATCCGGTTTTTTTTTTTGTTTTTTTTTTTTTAAGTGTAGTTCATAGATTTTATTTTAATATGAAAAAAAAAACGATAGAAGACTAGAAGGTTATTCTTTTTTTGGGTTTTTTGAAGCCTAGGTGCAAAAAAAAAAAAAAAAAGACAAAAAGCATAGGTGCTTTTAAATGACGGGTTTCCAGTCACAACAGATGCCCATAATGCTTCCCCTGCCACCACTTCTTTTTTCTTTTTTTTTAAAAAAAAAACAAAAATTATTATACAACCCGCCACCTCATTCCGGAAGGAAGGACGAATCCACAACACACACACACGCACACGCACGCACCCAACCCAAAAAAAAAAAAAAAAGGTTATTATTACTTATTAATCAGTTAATAGCTTTCTTTTCTTTCATTTTATTTTCTTTCCTTTTCTTTTCTTTTCTTTTCTTTTCTTTTCTTTTCTTTTTGCTTCTTTTTTTTCTCTTTTTTTTTGTAGTCAGTCATGAGCTTTCCCAAAAGCTGTTGACTGAGGGCGTCGCCTCACGGGACACGAAACGAAGAACGAAACGAGTGCATCTCCCTGCAGAAAATGGCCAGGTTCATCGGTTTGCTATAAATAGTAACGAGTTTGAATCCCGATGCCATCACACTGATAGAATACAATAGAATAATTCTTTTTTTTTTTTTTACAATAAAATAATTCTCAATTACCTGTGGCCGGTCAGTTCAATGATGATATGTCAAGGCCGTCCCCCCGTCCTTTTATTTTATTTTATTTTATTGAAAGAAAAAGAAGCAGCTTGTGCCAGTTTCCATAGGCTACCATTAAATGGTCAAATTTGCAGTGAACAGTTCCTGGGCATGGCTGCAGCCAGAGTCCCATGGTCCCATTAGTCCCATAGTCCTATAGTCCCATAGTCCCATAGTCCCATGGTCCCATAGTCCATGGTCAAATTTGCAGTGAACAGATTCTGTGCATGGCTGCAGGCAGAGTCCCATAGTCTCATAGTATCATGGTCCCATAGTCCCATAGTCCATAGTCCCATGGTCAAATTTGCAGTGACCAGTTCCTGTGCATGGCTGCAGGCAGAGTCCCATAGTCTCATAGTCCCAGTGTCCCATGCTCAAATTTGCAGTGAACAGTTCCTGGGCGTGGCTGCATGCATAGTCTTATGGTCCCATAGTCGCGTAGTTGCATAGTCCCATAGTTCATTGCCCGATTGAGCTCTACCTACACCTTGGGCAGAATGGTTGAGTTAACTCCTTTCTCTACAGAATGGTTGAGTTGAGATACTCCTTAGCCCCATAGTTCCAAAGTCCCATAGCTCAATAGTCCCATGGTCCCATTAGTTCCATAGTCCCATAGAGCCCTACCTAACCCTTGTGCAGAATGGTCGACTCCTTTCTCTGCAGAATGGTTGAGTTGAGGAGACGGCGTTGTCCCGTTGACCCCAGTCCCCAACTCCCCTATCGTCTTCCCCCGAACATAATGCAAATGCTCTGTACCCGAGTTCTCAAAAAGAACCGATGATTCAAATAGAATGCATATGCCTTGTATTTGAATATACCAGCTGTTCGAATAGAACCCATGTGTTGTATTCGAATAGAAAGCAACCCATGCGATGTAGTTGTTTATAACACATGCGTTATGGTCGGGCGAAGACGGTAATCCCCTAGTGACAGAGGGCTCTACCTACCCCTTCTGTAGAGTGGTTGAGGTGACACCTCTCTCTGCAGAGTTGTTGGAGTTCGCAGCCTGTCAGGGGTGCGTTTCCCCCCCCTGAGATATTGCCCCCTCAGACATTTTCGTCGTCCTTCGTTATACCGGTCGTTGATTCGGGCTCGGTTGGTCGTTCGAAGGCTCGAAAAATGCAGGCAGGTGCAGGCACGACACTTTGGGGGGTGGTGGCAGTTTCTTTGAAAAATGTGGGACCGGTAGCTGCCTGTGGGACCGCGCGCTGGGTTTTCGTCCAAACGGTGGCAGCGGCAGGGTGGAACTTTGGGGGGGGGGTGGCAGTTTCTTTGGAAAATGCGGGACCGGTAGCTGCCCGTGGGACCGCACGCTGGGTTTTGGTCGAAACGGTGGCAAAGCAGCGGCAGGGTGGAAAACTGGAAAAGTCTGAATCGGAAAGGGCATGGCCTTCGCGGCAGGTTGAAATGACACACCTGCATTGCATTTGCAAGTGCAAACAGATGTGTCTGAACGTGGATGTATTCAACGCCCCACACATTCAGCACCCGATTGAGTGAGTCACATATGCCCATTTTGCTCGTTGTCTGCATGCTCTCTCTCTCTCTCTCTCTCTCTCTCTCTCTCTCTCTCTCTCTCTCTCTCTCTCTCTCTCTCTCTCTCTCTCTCTCTCTCT